CTTTCAAAAACACCTATATCCCCCTATCTTATCTGTGAGTATACATGTTTGATTCTGTTTCTCCTGCCATGCTTAAGTTACTAATGAGAATAAATTTTCTGCTCTGATATCGTGATCTTAAATTTATTTTTGTATTGGCGCAAAATAAATCGTTAATAAACAGTATCTCATTGAGAGAAATGACTGTGCATTTATCAACGGCGCCAAATGACGCGGATATCATTTTTTTCAAAGCATTGCCTTCGACATCGTGTAAACCTGACAATTGATCCAGCTTCGGCCAATTTCAACGCACAATGTTATCATCAGAAGCAGAAAAGTTGACTGAAGAACAAGTAACCGAATATTTGAAGCGGCTACAGATACGGTCCAAACCAAGTCCAACTCTGGAAGGGCTAAAGCTCCTTTGTATTCAGCACCTCAAGTGCATACCGTTCGAGAATTTTTCTTTGCACTTCACTGAGCAGCGACCTTCAATTCCGTCGCTACTCCAAGAGAACATTTTTAACAAAATAGTTCAACGCAAACGTGGTGGTTACTGCTTCGAATTAAATGGCTTATTCGCTGCCTTGTTAAAATCGCTAGGGTTTTCCATTACCAATGGCAGCGCACGCGTCTATTTCGAATCAAACGGAGCTCCCGGCTACACGGACGAACAACACCATATTATCGTTGTGAACTTGGATGGCGAATCTTGGCTTGCCGATGTAGGCTTTGGTGGCCCCGGACCATGTCTGCCAATGAGCTTTTCAAATGCCCCGCAGCCAACCGAGAATGGTATTGGAAGCGAACAAACAATGTTGGAACTTCAGAATGATAATACGTGGCTGTTGAAACATCGGTTTAACTCAGGTGCTGACTGGAAACCAACATACAAGACCACATTGGAAGTTCGCAATGGCTCATTTTACAATGAAGGAAACAAAAATGTAGCTACCGGGCCGACTATTTTCACGGAACATCTAATCGCGGTGATCCTTCGTGATAACCAAGGCAGCTTGGAACGAGTTTCAATGATGGATACAAAGGTCAATGTATCAGGCACTAATCATTATACCCTTGTTGACACCTTTAACACTGAGGAGGAGAGAATTGCCGGTATTGAACATTGGTTCAATGTTGAATTGACCGATGAAGAAGTCATGGGAATCAGTGGCAGCCATCTTGCCTTGGGGTCAAGCAGTTAGGAAGGAGGCGCCGCACTCGGAATGTTCAATGCTGCTTTCAAATGGTTTTTACCAGCAGCTCTGTGTAACATCTCACCGGCACAAGCTTTTCAATGAAAAATGGTGGTAACAAAATGCCAGGAGAATCGGTTTGTCGGAACAACTCGGGTATAATAGAGTTTACCGGTACACCGCAATGCTATAGAAATCTAGAGCATAAACCTTCTGGGTAAATTGAAGAAAAGTTCATTGGGGGAGATAAAGTAATAAACCGATCGATTATTTAGGCGGGCAATAAAACTTAAGACATACATATTACAATCTTTGATTGATGACGATGGATACAAATCATGGAAGATAGGAAAACTGAGTACGGAAGAGCAAAGAAAAACAGATTTTACAAATAATGTACAATTTTTGAATGAAACAAAGAGAGAGTATGGAAGGTGAATGCGATGTGAGTATGGCGGAGCGGGGTGAGATGAAACTATATTATCAGCTAGAGTAATCGATAACAGCCAAGAAATTAGTTATGTTTTCAATATACGACCTCATAAAATCTAATAATACAACTTGGTACTTACCATGTGGTTGCTTGCGCAGATTGTTCGAAGCTGCGGTCGGTGTCCATCATAGAAGTATCAAAGTGGTGATGGAACAATGAAGTGTCTTCGGTACCGGCATACCCGGTAGCCCCAACATCTGTATCATTTCGTGAACATTGTCCATTTGTTGCCGTATTACCGCCCGCGGTATCAAGGAATGGCTCCATGACATTATCAAATAGACTCAGCTCGTTCAAACCCTGTAGCCTCCTCCAACGATTTGTGCGCTTTAAATCGTAGCTGTAACATAACATGTTAGTTTTATCGTGCGCTGTTTTGGAACTGAAAAGCAGATGATACATACTTAATGGTTAAGAACCAGTACTTTTCGAAAAAGTCAGCAGGGAGTTCCCATGCTGAGGCATCCCCTGGGTCTCCTCCATGAAATACTGCTCGCGTAATGAGCATATTGAAACAGTCGTCCATATCGAATTGGTCTCTGAAGATAATCATTCGATCGCGCATATGAGCGGTCGGAATAAGATCGATGCGGGGGTCGTGTGGGATGGAAAGCTAAATTTTCAAAATTTAATGTTATAATCGAATGATGAAAAAACCTGGGTTCGACGTAAAACGCCATTTTTGCCCACGCATATGATGTGCCTGGTTTTAATCCAAAAATTTGTCTTACCTGCAGGATAGTAGGCTGAATATGTGGTGGAAAGACATTGTCATTTTGAGTGAGGAGCTGAAGACGTAGTTTCAATCGTATTGCTTGTATGGCCGCTATAGCGGACATTGGTGGAGGCTGGTTGTCGTTGCCTGAGTCTTCAGGAGAGTGCCTGCAAGTGGGCGGTGGTGACGGTGGAGTGGCTGTCGGATGACCAACTTCCACTTTCGAATCGAAGAAGGATTTATGAAAAGGCGGTGGGCTGGGTGGTAACTTGGATGAAAGTGAGACGTCAGATAATCTTCGGCTTGAAGAAGTGGCAGAGCATGATTTCTCGTCCATGTCAATGTCTCCCGATTCATCGAGTGAAGCTGTACTGGAAAACAAAGTTCCAAGGTCTTTACTCTCAAGATCGGGTATGTTGATACTGGCATGATCACCGGGTAGCATAATCAAGCCTGATGGATTAATCGTATTGGAGTTTTCATGGGAGTTGAGTTCGTCGGAAAAGCTAGGATTGGCTGGCGGGCTATTTGGATAATAGCTAGAAGAAATGGAGTCTGACCTTTCCCGCGTTGGTGCAAATTTCAGCGGAGAAAACTCCAAGGTGGGTGAAGGAATTGGTTCTACTAGCTTGGAAGGTACAGGAAGCTTGTTGTGTGCGTTGATATCCAAATAAGCAGAAATGGATTCTGGAATACTTTGTGCCATGATTGAAAGTGCTGGTTCGTTGAGATATGGGCTGTGTTGCGGAATAACCAGATTGTTCTCATAGCACACTAGTTGTAGGGTGAGAACGATTCCTTTCAGATACCAGTTCTCGGCACGATAAATATCGATATCAGCTTTCAGGTTGTTGTTCTCCTTCAGAACGCGATCACGCTGGTCCTTTATTTGCTTGAGCGCTACTTCCAATTCCCTAAGGTGTCGTTCTTTTCTTTCTCGGAAAGCTCTTTGTGCAGCTCGGTTCTGCGCTCTACAAACAACGTTTAGCATAGGTGCCTTTTCATATTGCTATAATGAGATAGCAGTACATACTTTCTAATAGCTGGTGACTGAGGATTTGGTTTGCGTCCAGGCTTCTTCCTAATCTTGACTGGCGCATTTGGGTCTGCAGGCTTTGCCGCTGCAGTAGAGTCTTTCTGCTGATTCGCTTTCAGCGACTCATTTGGTTTCTCTACTTTGTTTTTGAGAGCTTTTCCTTCATCCATAGCTTCTGGTTATGAGCGAGAAACGTAAGAATACAAGAAGAAAAGAGGAAATAAATGTGTGTGAAAGTTTAAGTTTATTCCATCACCCTTTTGGCGGCATGGATTTCGTTCTCCGAAGACTATTCTTGCTGACTTGCGGTATTGTAGCCAATCGTATCGCATTCCCCACACAACCGTTGCGGGGAAATCCCATTAGACAGATTTCAAGTGGAGTTGGGGCAAGTTATTTTTTTATTAAGTGTGAAAGAGAGTTCAATTCTATGCAAGAAAGGTAGATTTTTCATCGCCGTCGCTTATTCATTTTTCCTCCTTTCTTGTTGTTATTGAATTTACGGTTTCCTGCCTGGACAACATCATCATCTCGGTCCTGATCATCGTCATCGTTGCCGCCGCGGCCACGTTTGCCTGATTTCGAGTCACCACCTTTTTCCTTTAGCTCGATAGTTGCAATACGTTGAGCTTCATTTACTCGCTCTTGGAGCATCATGACCTCATCTTTTTCAAGAGGATATTGATCAAGTTTTCTTCCCAAATCTTTTTCAACCCGCTGGATGAGTTCAACATCGTATTGTGTCACAAAAGTGATAGATTTTCCGGATCGACCAGCGCGAGCAGTACGTCCAACTCGATGGATATAGTCTTTTGAGGTCTGAGGAACATCATAGTTGACGACAATATCCACAGCAGGAATATCCAATCCTCGACTAGCAACATCCGTTGCGACAAGGATGTTCCGGTTACCGGCTTTAAATTTGTTTAGAGCACCAAGACGTTTAGACTGCGCCATTTGTCCGTGTAATGGAATGGCTGGGAATCCGAGGTTACGGAGCATGACCGCAATCTTCTGAGCATCACTACAAGTTCTGGTGAAAATAATGGTAGAGTTTCCTGCAAGTTCGTTGAGCAAATACACCATGTAGCAATCTTTGTGTTTGAGTGGAAAGAACAACATGTACTGAAGCAAGGTTGATACAGTGGAATATCTGTATTGGAAAACAATGGTTAGAACTCAAAAGTACCCGCGGTATCGGCAAGGTTGCACAAAATATACCAGCCCCAACAAACTTACTTTGCAGATACCTCTACTTTGACAGGGTTATTTAAACTTGCTCTTTGTAATTTCTGAACTTTCGTTGTCATTGTGGCAGAAAACAAAAAGGTGTTACGCTCTCTTGGAATGACCTTCAGAATCTGATCAATCTTGGGTCCAAAGTCCATATCCAAAAGGCGATCGGCTTCATCCATAACCAAGTACTTGAGATTTCGCAAACTGAATCCCTTTGTGTTTTCGAGATGGTCCTGCAAGCGACCTGGTGTACAAACAATAATGTGTGGTCGCTTGGAGAGTGTAATTGATTGCGACATCATATCCATACCACCAACGATGACGGCGGATTTAACGCCGATCAAAGCACCAAGTGATTCAAATGTTTCTGAGATCTGATAAGCCAATTCTCTGCTTTGATGTCAGTACTGCGCCATACACCAGTGTCACTATGTAAACCAAACTAACCTTGTAGGTGCCATAACGCAAGCAAAAAGTGATTGTGGATTATCCCATAGCTTTTGCAGAATTGGAAGAGCAAAAGCTGCGGTTTTACCGGAACCTGTTTGGGCGAGTCCGATAATGTCTCTTCCTTCCAAAGCCCAGGGTATGGATTCCTTTTGAATCTCGGTTGGATGCTTAAATTTCAACTGATCGCAAGCATCGCACAATGGCTTAATAATTCCCTGTCGATTGAAAAGAAATTTAGTTCCTGGGCTGGCATTATTAGTAATCCTGTTGACAATGAAACGATTACTAACGAGATCAGAGAACTTTGTATCTTCTGGTTTGAGTGCTGCGAGTTCACTAGCGTCAAGTGCTTTGGGGTTTGCTTCTGGCATTGCTTTAGGAACAGACGAAGAATTCACAACTTTTCCTTTTGTTCCTCACTTGCACCCAAAAAAAAAAAAAAAAAAAGGTTATCGGTACATGAAATGTGACCGTTTTTTACGGACTGATTGGGACATTGACTGGTTCATGGACCTGGTATGAACAACTGTTCCGAGAAGGACGATGAAAGTAGAGTCATTATAATATCCATTACGTTTAAATTGCAATGGGTTTGGTTCTGGCTACTGCAGTGGGCTCGAAAAGTATAAAATGTTAGGATGCGGCAAGGAAATGCTCCAGCAGCATGAAATATACAAGATGGTTTTCTTACCAGTATGTTCGCATTTTTTCACACACTATTCAGGTTCAAATACATTAATTTTGGGATTCTAGGACTGGCAGCATCTAACATCTCAATAGGTGTGACCACTCTATACTACACAATCTCAGTGCAGCTCAATATTTTCGGTTGTATTTCAAGACGAAACTTTTAAGTCTTACAAAGTCCACCTTAAGTGAGCTACTTCGTCATCGAAATAGACTGTTCAATGTTTGTATAACTCAACTGTCATCGAACCCAATGGATTACTATTCCTGCTACTGCTTCCGCTATGACAGCAGATGTAGACCAATTCAACAGCTCTATGTTTGAACAGACAAGACTATAACGCTTGTCGTTGTCGCAAATATATACTTATACTGTCAATGAACCGGATCCGTTATACGAGCTTCAATCATCCTAACCTCTGGAGTTACTATGGAAAACAGATTAAGTGGTGGACGTTTCTACAAAGAAGTGAAAGTTATGAAGTGCAGAAAATGGCACTGAAGTAGTCAATAATTTCATTTGAATATTGGTCTAATTTTCAGAGAGAATGATGGTACCACGCTGATCATGTTGATTTCAAGAACAATTTATGGACACTGTGATGTTTAGAGTTCTGTTCAAGGGACTGACAATATATAGCTAACCATCAATGACTATTTAATGTTGTCTGTTGGTACAGGCAGGCGCAGGTTCAATGTGGCACTGTTTCATGGAATTTTTGGATTACAGAAAGTACACGGTCCACGAGCAACAGTGAGGGGAAAGCTGTCGTCTAGACGTCAAAGTGAATTTCAATATAGTAATGATTCAAGTCAAGTACTGATATAAGTAACTTATAGAGAAACAGTCCGTCGTCACTCTGTCGCTGATATATCTATTGGTTAAAACTTTCTAAAGAGCAGTTTGCTGGCTCAACGGTCGGGGGACTGTCAAAAATAAGAGTGGGTGGTTACGACCTTACAAAAAAACACCTTCTGCGTTTGCAAGTTCCACCAGCCACCACTACCTCCTTGAAAGGGCGAATACAATGTCAACGCAGCAGCCTGACAGCTACCTCAAGAGTTTATCCAAAAAACAATACTCCTGGATGCAGCAAGCATCTTCCCCTCAAAGCGATACGGCTGGCTCTCCCGAACCAGAGAGGCCAACCAACGCCAGCTCAGTTGATAATGCAGCAAACACAGATTCTATTAAAACGACAGAATTAGAGGCACCTTTAGATACACCATCACAACCGAATGATCCTATGGATATCTCAACAGATGTGGAACCGGATCAGGCGGCTGAACATCATAATGTGGTGGATCAGACAGACCATAAAGCTCCTTCCCGACAACGCGTTATGAAGACGAAACCAACTAATCGACCGAGATTCAAGTACACCAACTTTCCTGTAAAAGGATTTAACATACTTCCAACACGTAATATTACTAGCCAATATGCAAAGAACGATAGCTTGAACCTTCAAGGAATCCTTGCTGGGGAGAAGAGCATCCTACCAGATGTAAGTTTTCGTTGTACTTTTCTGAACAGTATCTCAACACCATTTTCTAATCTTTTATCTTTTCCCCCTTTTCGTACGTAGCCTGAGACTGAGGGTTCCGATGTCATTATAATACATCCAGGGTCAAGAAGCTTGAGAATTGGTAGAGCATCGGAGGCATTCCCCACAACCGTACCTCATGTCATAGCACGACGAATGAAAACGAAAGAAAAAAAAAGGAGTCAACCTCGTCAAATGCTTCCCATGGACTTTGATCTAACAGAGGAAGACTTGGATAACGACACTGACATGAAGGACGCCACAGCTGAGGATACAGAAGCGGCTACAAATAAGACACGCATGACACCTTTGCAGATGGCTGCTTTGGAAGCTATAGAAGGCACCCTCAAATATCGAATGAAGCAGGCTAAAAGACGATCCGTACCCAATGCAAATGCACAGGTTATATCTTATAACTCTCAAGCTGTACAAGAGATTATTCCTGATCACAACGACCCATATAAGGTGGAATGGACTGATCCTAGTGCGAGTGCAAAGCGACCAGCACATTTCGTAGGAGAGAAGGTAGGCATTGAAATAGACATATTTTCTCGCTTACGTATCACGGGTGATAACATTTGTCTCTTAGGCTCTCAATTTGCCGCTGGATGCCAACCCTGACTATAGACTTTTCTATCCTATGCAATACGGACAACTTAATAGCATTGATTATTCATCCCTTCAAGAAGTAGTTGGTGATTTGCAAGTTATCTGGACTGAAAGTATCCAATCAGAACTAGAAATAGAGGACGCTGACTTCAGAGTAAGTTGTAAAACCTTGGTTGCTCTAAATTAATTCAGTGAGATTTAGTCTAACCGACCTGCTATTCAGAACTTCAATGCCATTTTGGTTATACCAGATGTTTACAATAGGAACCATATATCCGAGATTGTGACAATGATGCTACGCTATATGAACTTCCGTGGAGTTTGTGTGCAGCAAGAATCAACCTGTGCGACGTTTGGTGCAGGTACTTCCATGGCATGTGTTGTAGATATTGGCGCTCAGAAGACAAGTGTATCTTGTGTTGAAGACGGGCTGTGCATTCCTGATTCTAGGTAAGGCGATAATGACAAGACTAACTCATTTGATGAAAGCGTGCCTCGAACTAAAAGGTTTTATTCATATCAGAATTACTCTTCCCATGGGTGGTGATGATATTACAACGGTATTCGCTTCTTTCTTGAAACGAAACAAGTTTCCCTACTCCAACGTGGATATTTCTCTTGCATACAACTGGAGATTATTCGAGGGCTTAAAAGAGAAATGGTGCACGCTGAACGAAGCAGAAATTAGTGTCCAAGTGTACGACTTTTTTGTTCGAGTTCCAGAGAGGACTACTCGCAAATTCCAGTGCAAGGTATATGAAGAAGTATTCTTAGCGCCGCTGTGCCTGATCTTCCCCGGTATACTGGATCCTGAGAGAAAAGCGATTACTGCGCAAAAATGGAGCTCAGAGAACGTTATAGATGATATAGCAGATGAAACAGGGGTGAGAAAGAGCAGAATTGTAATGTATCATGACAAGAAACTTTGCGTAATTATTTTTTTTTTTTCTTGCTCTTAGGTTGCGGCGGTGCAAACACAACCGGCGACTGCATTAACATTACCTGTGAAATCCAAGCCGTCTACTCCTCTACCTTCAGGCTTATCACCAGGCGTGAAGCCTGCCACTGCACCTTCAACACCTGCTGCATCAGATCACGTCGATTCTCCTGCCCCAGCAGAAACAGAAGACATAACCGCATCCCAGAGTAATGCCGCTACTTCAGAATCATCTATGAGCCCTGAAAAAGTCGAAGATGCCTATATACCTACACCTATTGACACTGCCATCGCTCAATCTATTTTGATCTCTTCTTCGAACTCGGAAGAACGCTTGAAGAAGTTTTTCACTAGCATCATTCTTGTTGGAGGTGGAGGAAAGATAGGCAATATGGATCGCCTTTTGGAAGACTGGTAAGAAGAGTATCAAAGTGAACTAGACGTTGTTTTTTCATGATTTCTAATTTGATTCTTTCGCATGCAGCATTCTGAGTACATCGCTTGCTAGAAAGCATGGCGTCGATAAGGTGGAAATTTTGCCAGCCCCAAGAGAGTTAGATCCACGACTGCTCGTATGGAAAGGAGCCTACGTGCTGAGCAAGTTGGAGTCCACTAATGAGATGTGGATTGGACAAAATGAGTGGAACGAAGTTGGCGTTCGATGTCTTCGAGACCGAATGCTGTTCGTTTGGTAATACAACATCGACATAATTACTTTTTGTTAGATATTTCTGAAATAAAATTAGCGAAAATATCTGCATCATCACGCCTGCATCATGATAATGTGTGAGTAGATACTCATAACCCATTTCGGAATGGATGCCACCGTCGACATAGATATATACTTATCTACAACACGACTTATTTCGTAGTAGCAGAAATCGTTCATTGAAGTCTTTTAGTTTCACAGATCTTTTTCAAAGGGAGTTGAAGAAAAACGATGTGACCAACAACTTGGATGAGAGACTGGCCCATGTTCAGCCACTCTTCTCATTATGTGTATTTTAAGTAAAAAAAGAAAAATCTATTCCTATGATATCATGGCTTTCATACCCGCCGCTGAAATACAATAACATCAATGACATGAGCAATCGAAAATTTTGTAGCTTATATCGATCAAATATCGATATGTTTAAATGAAGGAAAATATGGGCAATCTTATGGAATTCGGTTTTTTTAGACCCACGCATGTTGAGACGCCGATCGCACTTTCCCATATGACTTCCCTTTTAAGGCTCAATGTTCTTGCCTTCATTTCTCATTTCCCCCCGAAAACTTGCCACTAAACCACTTTCCTACAGCCAAATGCAATCTGATCGCTCGCAACAACGAGACAGGCAGATTGTCAACCCATTAACTTTAAGACCACCGGTCAACACTCGTATCTCCTCTGCTGGCACAGATTCCTCAACTGGTATATTGCATTTCAACCCTGGCTTTGCACTAGATTCCGAATCGGCGATTGAGGCAGACGCTTCTACTATTGGAGATGACAGTGATTCAACTGCTTTTCACAGTGGTTCAAATGCACCTATAGACTCAACGAATAGATCTGCGTTGGCCAAATCCGAAAGATGGTCGCAAAAAATCATTAATTCAAGCTTGTCCGATAGAGGGGTTCATTCTGTTGACAGTGATGCTTCGTCTTCGCCCACGTTTGAAAAAGCCGTCATCTCTGGATATCAAGCACAGTCTACAGCAGATTCACGAAAACCTGTCGCTACTGACATCCCTACACCATCCTCTGGCTATCAAGCGGATACTGAAGTTTTAGAAAATGAAGAATGGACATCTAATGTAGCCTCACAACAACAGCATCATCATCATCATCACCATCATCACCACAATCAAGCACAAAATCAGTATTCATCTTCTATGGATTATTAAGTGTTTAAAGCAGATCTGATGTTTTATGTGAAAGTGTCGCGCAAGACCATATTCTCTCTTTCAATGGTCATACAAGATGGCATCTGTCTTTCTCTATGATTGAATACGATCAATTATTTCTTGTAATAAAGTTGACAATTTTATCGTTGTCCGTTGAGCGTATTGGACCAGGCCTTGACAGACACTCGTGGCTGAATTCCGATGGACCGATAACTCTAGGCATAGAAACAAAAGGAACAATCGGAGTGTTAACTCCAACGTTGTACGCGCATTGACTCTCGATGGGCTAGAATCTCTTGAATACGATCGAATAGCATGTCAGGCAATAAAGGGGAAAACTGGTATTGCTGAATTAAGAATTTTCCCCCCATTTTAACTGCTGAATCACGTCGTCGAGCACTGCTTTTCGAGAGTTGATTTGCTAAAAGAAGATTTCATGCAGACATTATGTCTCAAAGACTGAAACAAACATGTATCCATAGTATCTCGAAAATCTTCCGTAGCAACGTTTATCTTTTACTGTCTTAGTTGAACATCATTGCAAAATAACTTCACTGCTCAACGTCGGTAACTCAACTTCCATTCCTATGGCGCACGTCAGCCTTGTGTGGACGGTAATCTCATTTCGGAAATGTCAGATTCACATGTCAGTCATGTTTACTAACTGGTGGAATCGTTGTAGCTCCCGCCAATCTTCCACTTGGCGTCGTTGGCGGCCGGATTATGTGTCATTATGGTGTTCTGCCTTATGAACGCATATCGACCATCGTTAGCGGATCGAATATCATTGAGATTGGTATTTGCAGCCAATATTTCTGGGGTAATTTTGTCTGTCTGGCAAACAGTAGTAGTCTTCCTCTCCAGCTCTCATAGAACAGCATGCCTTGCTGCTGAGTTCTTTTTGACTATGAGCGATACGGCTGCCTCACTTTTTCTCATGTTTGTCGGCTTCAACCTTATGCTTCTCGTGGTGTTCCGCATTCCAGCTTCACGACCGATTGAATATAGCTACTACATTTTCAGCTGCCTCGTCGGACTTATAAATGGTCTCGTTATCGTCTTACGCACAACACGGAGCTTACCTGAATCAGATACCCCAAACTGCTGGTAAGCCTCATTATACCTTCAATCCTTTTATACCATGTATTGTCATTGACAATTGGCCAATAGGTTTTTAATATATTATTCCGACACTGCCATTTTGCGATTTACTTCTGTAAGTCCAACTGACCGATGTGTGTAAACCAGCAACTCAGATACTGATATGCCGAATAAGATCTATCGCTACGCATTTAGCATTTTTGTCATAGTAATCAGTTCTATTGTTTTTACAAGTACCATTATTGTATTATACTCGAAGAAAGGATGGGTCCACCAAGGCTGCGATCTACGTCGTCCTAATAATTCGTGGAAGCCAAATCAGCGACCGACACAGGGCTCGCCGAGTGGAAGTTCGAATGATCAAGTAATACTGTTTAAAAAAGTCGTTTTCAGATGCCTTCTATATCCAGCAGGTAACCTCGTTGATTGTAATGGCGGTATATGATCCCAGTCCGTCGTTGACTCACGCTGAACCGAATGTCTAGTCCTTATTTTTATCAACCTCTGGGGATTTATTTACTTCATGGTGGCCGTGGTACAGAAAAACTTGAATTTTGTCTTGCTTCTTCTGGATCAATGTATTATTGGAAGTGCAGGTACTGTTTAAGGAACAAGTAATGTTGTAAACTACTATCAAACAATAACATTTCAACACTTCAAAAATTAGGCTTATTCGTCGCCATAATTTTCTTTTCTGACCCAGCCGTCAAAAAATCGACAAGCGATTGCTTGGAATGGATTCATGCACATTACGTAGATGAATACACCGAAAATTCGATACCAACTGCAGGTCAGAGACGCAAATCGATGAGAATCATAAATGTGAGGACCCGTCTATCCACGCAAACATCTGCAGATTCAATAGCCGTAGACCGACTGGTTCCATATCCTCATCCAAGGCTAGCTAAATATCTGAACTGGATATTAACAAAAGTCTTCAGGTGGAAGGAAAGACCGCGGATATGCCGGAGTGTTAGTCATCTTAGCCATATGAAGGGGACTTCTCTTGAAAAGGTGCGGACAGGGTCAACGTTTTACCTTCCATCCGTTGACGGGTCACTAGGTAATATGATTATTATTGAATATTAAGCGCATTTGATCCTCAATATTTCAAATGTTGGAAATTTCACTAATATGATACTGTAGAAGATATCCATCAAATGGACATGAACGGTATCTCAACAACTGACATGTCAATACCAGACATTGTAGTGACCGGCGATAAGGGACTAACCGTTCCCCCCGTCAGTGAAGCTGCCTCAGTGACAACCAGCGACAAATCAAGTGGTCTAAGCCATGAAAATTTAAGGGAACAGTTAGACAAGTATTCCATCAGCGAAAGTGATGAAGCGACAGATGATGAAGTGCCACATTTTCCAGATCATGTCCTGAACGGAATACGTCCCAGTCCAGCTGCAGCACACCATGCAGCTCGTCCACCCGATCCGTACGACGATAGCGAGGAAGATTGCCATACGATAGACAGTAAAGGATTAGACCTGGAGGCTGTGGGAATGGATGATAGACCACATTACTAAGATCATTTGGAGATCAATGTCGCTAGTTGTTCTGAAATGTACTCTGTGTTTATACTCGTGCCCGAAATCAGAGCATGTAGGCATAAATTAATGCATTCGTTAATGATATTACACATTTTTTCAAAAACAGTAATTGTAGCTCAAAATGATTTTATATTGCTTAGAGACCATAAAGAAGGACAATGGGCCATATATCGCTTTCGTTATGAAAAGAAACGATTACGCTCGGTGAACATGCGAATGATGAATCTGTTTAAACTCTAACAGGTAAACATCTGCCAAACTGTGCTACTACAATCTCAAATAATGGGATTATTTTGATGCAGCGCGTTTGTTATGATGATGATGTTTGTGATGATGACGGGTACTAGACTTCTTAGTGGTATGTCCCTTCTTACTGCTGGTCTTCTTGCCACTGGACTTCTTAGTACTAGTGCGCTTGCTACTGGACTTCTTAGTAGTCTTTTTGCTTGAGCTGGAATGAGAGCTTCCAGATTGGGCTTCGAGGGTACCGGGTCCACCGAGCCATTTTTCGGTACTTTGGTTGACGTAATCAAGGATTTTACAGCTGGACTCAACTGCTTTGACATGTTCGCCAACTTTGTTGGCAATGTCAGCATAGGTTTCGTACATCAGAACGAACCAATCCAATTGGCATCCATTGAAACTCCAGCTTTCGTCATCAACACGGACACAGCCATTGTGGGTCATGCCATTGGGAAGCTTGATGCCATCAATTTCCTTGATGTAAAGAGTGGTGCCTTTCTTGATATCGTTGGAAGCAATGGATGTCCAAGGGTGTAAGCTAATGCTGTCGGAACTGCCAAGGCCATAAGGATGCTGTTTGGTATTGACTACCAAAAAGGTGTTCTGGCCTTCATCCAAGTTGATCATGGTACCATCAGATAGCAAGCAGGTTCCTTCCATTTGACATTTCTAAGTGTAGAAAGGAGAACAAAGGGTTACTATGCAGGTTCAAACTGCGATGCAATGAATGGGCTGCCAAAAATTTCATTCTAACCTCATATGTTGTGGTTGAAACTTTTGCAATGACATGTCCAGAGGTGGTCTTGAGAGATTTGCTCTTGGAACCGGTCAATTGTACAATCTTTCCGTTGTTCAACATATCAGTAGTTCCTTCTTTAGGGATCCAGTACCTAAAAGAAATAGCAAATAAAAGGTTAAAATGGTGCGGTGCGGAGTTTGTATTTGGCTAGTGCTAAATCAAGGGCAGACGCTTACTGGGTGAAGGCAGCTTTGCCACCTGTATAGCAGCTCTTGACACTCCTTTTTTCAAGTGGAGCGGCATTGGCAAAAAGGCCAAAAGTGGTGGCAACTGCGGCCAGAATCAGTGTGAACTTCATGGTATAGTATATGAAATTTCGAATGAATTGGGTTTAATAGCGATAGTGTTTGTTGAGACCGGCTCTGGTTGAGACTATGCGATGCGATCAACGCTGAAAGAAAAGACACTGAAGAGGTGGTGGAAGGGGAATGGTACCAGACCAAGCGAAAAAGAGAAGTGAGGATAAAAAAAAACGATGTGGGTAGAGTCGTCTAGTCAGTTGCATTTTTATACTAAAATGTGATGGCTAGAAGGTGGTGAACATGTAAAGTAAAATAAAAAAAATAAAAAGGATGGTGGTGATACGAAAATCACAAAGGTTGATTTGTTCAATATACATGCGTCTTTGTATAGATTTCGTCCTTTGTAGGGTAAGCTGGTCCATACTTTTCGGTGTAAATTTTCTTTTCGGATGGCCATGCAATTAATGTAATATGACAGGATATGATAATTAAATGAAAGCTATGAAGGCTCGTTCACAAAAAAAATAAGTGCTTTCGCCATCAAGAAGACAGTAAAGGAATCAATAACTTGGTGCCCCAGACCAATTAAGCTATTTGCCTCATGAGGTTACCTTTTGAAGCAAGTAACACCGAACGGTCGTTATGGCGAACATGGCCCATGGGCCACCGATTTCTTGCACAACTTATGCACAAACATAGTCTGGTAGCCTATTCATTACGAAGGGTATTCAAGTCAATATCATTCATGATTTTGAGGAGTGTATGGTACCGTTGGATGCAGCTAAAGAGCCTGAAACACTTGCCCTATCTAGATAGTATGTTTCCAGGAGTCGTTGTCTCGTCCAAGCCATCTTTTCGATCGCTACGGCTGCTCTTGTATGGACGAGCTGTGCATATTGAGGCTTTTCCGCGTTCCGAATATGGCTGGTAACGCAAAGACGAAGAGCCACGAAGTGGTAGTCCTGCTAAAAAAATTTTCTCCAAATGCAGCTCTTTCTTCCTTTGGCAGTGTTTTCTTTAATTTCTTGGTCCCTGGCCAACAAGGTACGCGTGGTCAAGGTCATAGCCAAACAAAAACACTTCATATTATATCTGATGTTAATAAACCCAAATGAGGTTGAAGCTTGGCGGTGAAGAAATTTCTTTTATTTCATCTGGACGGAATCGGGGGTTATGCTATTTCAACAAAGTTGTTGGCTTGCCCAAATATGAAAAATGTGCGGTACGCGGATATCCATCAAGCGAGCTGACTTCATATATGCGCTATTCTTGGCCCTTTGTTACAATTATAGCCATATGTTTAGCAATTGGCAAAGAGTTTTAGGAAATAATGAGTTCCTCGCTGATCGTTCAGGGAGTAAGGTAGGGATGGTCAGTAAAACAAAGGTTGGAGCCTTGTGGAAAGAGTAATCCCATGATGATCCAAACATATACGACCCTCTTTGTCCAGGCTTATTGGTGGGGTGCAGCGGTAAATGTCCAGGTGACCTCCAGAGCAAACGGGCATGAACATGAAATTTTTACTGGTTCAGTTTTTTTTTTTTGAAGTCCAGCATTGCCATTATGCCACACTGCCATGATGATCATTGCGAACACGAGCATGAAGACTTGCCAGGTTCAGGAGAACAAGCTTTGCTCTATTCTCGTATAGACCGTGACAATATTCGTTGTTTGAACGAAGCTGAGCCTGATTCGGGTAAGAGTGTTGTCAAGCCATGGGATCAGCGTCTGGACAATGACAAGGTATGTGCAGTAATGCGCCACTTCAACGCCGGCCGAAGCGAGGCGGATTAGTACGACATGGCATGACACTGACAGCTCTTCAGTTTGTAGAAAGTGATGCTGATGAGCAGCTGCTTATTACTATTCCGTATGTGACATCAACACGCGTTGTGACAAGTTTCAGTTACGCTGAATGTCGGTTACACTTGTATTAACTTTTCGGTTCCCTAGTTTCACTGGAAGTGTCAAATTGCGGTCCATATGCTTACGAAGCGGACATGGAGATTATGCTCCGTCCAAATTGAAGGTGTAAGTTTTCATAATTTGGTGCTTAGCTTGTACATTTCAATTCTATTCCAACCAAAATACTCGTTTGACAGTTATACTAACCGGGACGGCATCGATTTCGACGACGTTTCCGATATGCAACCGGTTCAGGAGTGGGATCTGGTCAGGGGCTCTGACGACGTGGTTGAATATACCACAAGGTATGTTTTAGCGACTTGCATATTGGATTTATATTGCTCAAGGGTACTAGCGGATGGCCTATTATAGAAGTACGAAGTTTAGCAATGTTCGCAACATCACCTTGTTCTTCCCAGAGAATTATGGCGAAGACACTTCCATTGTACGCTTTTTGGGCTTTAAGGGGGAATGGTCCGAGGTAAGATCGATGTCTTTGTCGATTCATGAGATGAGGTGAAAGATACTAAATACTGATTTAATGAGCACAGGTAAAACGCGATCCCATCATTACCAGTAAGTAAATCGGCGTGACCAACAAAGAATACCTGGACCGAAGCTGACCGGGGGACGTTGTTTTATACTAGTCTATGAAGCGAGTGCCAACCCGGCGGATCATAAGAATCCAGCGGCTGAAGACAAGCTCCATTACTCCATTGACTGAAAAAACCATTTGACGCCACTAACATTTGAAAGGTGAACAGGAAGTGATAGGCGGGTTATGTTCCTTTTTCCATGAAACACCATATAGATACATATCTTTGTACAAAAATTATAGTCTACAGTATACTAAAAGTTATTGTGACAACGGTCCCCTTGCTTCTTACCAAAAAAAATTACATCATTCCATTGCTTCGCACTCTAATTTATGACAATATTCCATATAATATATGAGGTGGTCACGCTCCAATTTATGCGGGTGCGTATGAAGTCAAGTGAAAAGGCTCTCAAGATCGTTGTGTCCATGTTTTCCCCAAGTGTGTACCGTCAAACATGGTCGCTGATTGGGTGCCAGCTCCTTTTGGAAGTTCTGGGTGTGGAATTTCCTGGGATTCCCTCAATTCACCAAATGGCTCAAAAATTAGCAGTAATGGCTGCTCAATGAAGGCTGCGCAGTAAAATATTATCATGCGATCTTTTTCAACTATAGCCTGACGCATTTCCAATGTGGCTTTGTAGAAATCTTCCATCTAGATGTGAGGTTGTAAACCATGAAAACCTCTAGCATTGAATGCCTTGTAAGGGGGTATGTTGTACCACCATAAAATAGAGGCGTTACCAGTAGCTAAAAGTTGGCTCAAATTCACGCTGATGCCATTATGAGTTTTGGGCCACACCAAAGATTGTCGTAAGCTTTTTTAACCAGTTTTGGTCGTTGTTGATGCAGTATCAGTATACTGAAATCATAGGCGATGCCCTCATGCTTGTCATTGTATTGTGCTAGCGATGATTCCTCCAGAGAGATTACCTTGTAAAATGTTTGTGAGGATAGCCTTCAGACCTTTCTATGCAAGTTATATCTCATACATTTGTTCCAGACAGTCCCTTTGCAGGATTACGAAGAAACAGCTGGTATATTGAACATCGCATAGGCTTTAATGTGAAATCGTAACGTGTAGACGTGCTGTTGTAACTGATGATTAAGTCAAGACTATGATTATCATATCAAGTGCAAGTGTTAGGCTTTTCTACTATAGCACAAGGTATAGACTGTATTGATGGGATGGAAGATAGTTTATGTGGATACTGCGTTTCACTTACTATTATCGAAGTTAAACAGGACTTCAAAGACATACCGGATTTACTAGAATTAAAAGAAAAAGAAAAATTAGAAAGCCGGAAAAAGTTTGGCCTTTAGTCTGTTTGGCTAGTCCGTTTTCTTCGTGCTGTAGTTCTAAGCGTGGTATATGCATCAACTTCTCCGTTAATTACTTACTCTCTTATCCCTCCTTAAAATATCTCTCTGAGTGCTCTTTAGATACTATGCAGCAGGATAATAAGTTAACTATCATTGACTTCTAGTACTTACTTTATATCTGTGGGTAATCTCCATACCAAAACGACTACCGTAGAATGTCAATGGTTTCACAATGGCTACACAACTGGTTACTCAATTTTGCTGTTCAAACTCCTGCAAATCTTGTAAACCGTTGATTGAGTACCTATTGACAATTTTAAGCTTCTCAGCACAACAAGCAATATTCCTCCTTTGTATGTAAAGGGACTGAGCGACGAACTTGCCCAAATTAAATATATGAAGGGTGCAATGTCGCCAAATTACGTCTGTAGTTGTGTGACCATAGTGATTAATGGAGTTTCAAATGGGCTAATTTGTACAGGTTGGCGATTGACGAAAGTCGAGCATACTTCTCTCTCTCCTACCCCATTCCTATCCTTTAAACCACACTCGCTATGAAATTCGCTGCTCTTGTCACTGTTACCGCCCTTGCTGCCGTCGTCACTGCTTCAGGACCCGCTGCTGGATGTCTCCAGACCTACACCAGTAAGAACCGACACGTTGGATCAGCACAAATGCATTTGTGTTCACTGAGCAACTGTTTTTGATCGAAATATATATAAAAAAAAACGAAAAACTAACTTGTGCATTTAGTCAAGGATGGTGATGGTTGTGAAGGCATCGCTGCCAGCTTCAGCTTGACTCCTGACGCATTCTACACTATGGTATTGTTGTGAAACATTAATATTTGGGCAGACGTTTTGCAACTTGTTACTGAATTTCCGATACACTAGAACCCAGGTCTTCACCACGCTGGCGATCACGTAAGTGCAAATCAATCACTATTGAATTTCTGCAACATTTGAATAGCTTGTCTAACCTGAATATATGTATGATATTTGATCTCAATACAGCTTTGTGACAATCTCGGTAATTCATCTCGTGTGCATTTATATATTCTTTTTTTATGACTTTGCTTTAACCATGCCAATCTATACTATATCCAGATACCGGCAAGCCGTAAGCAACATGATGAGACAGTGATCTATAACGAACTTATGTCTCTTTGCTAACATCTTTTTTTTTCCACAATTCAGTTACTGCGTTTGCATGACCAAGCCTTGCGTAAGTGATATGATACTTCATTGATTTGGCTGCAATTACTCATACTGACCCATGTGTCTATACAGGCTCAACAAAAGGTCGTTAGCTCCGTTGCCCCTACCTCTGTCGTCGCCACTTCCGCCGTCGCCACTGCCGCCGTCTCTACCAAGGCTGCTGTCTCTTCCGTTGCCACCATGGCTTCTGCTTCTGCTTCTGCTTCCATGGCCACCATGGCTCTTCCCTCTGGTAGCGCTGCTTCCAATGTTTCCGTCAGCGCATCAGGATCTGCCGCTGGTGCTAGCACCACTGCCGCAAAGAGTGCTGGTGAGAAGGTTGTTTCCTCTGCCGCCATGGTTGCTTTGCTTGCTGGTGCCGCTTCCGTCCTCGCCTTTTAAATTTTTATGACGCCGTTTATGTAACCGTTACTCTTTCTGCCTTCGACGCTGAATTAAGAATTGTATGTTCGGAATCATTGGTTGACATAACCTGTGATTAGCAGTAGGACCAGGCATAGTCTAAATTTCAGTACACTTTAGTACAAATAAGAAAAACCGATCCTAATACATATTTCCAGTGACAATTTTGTCAATTTTTTAAAGTGTGTGTCTTTGTCCGGTCAGACTAGATTGTAGATTACATTGCTGTTCTGAGGCATGAATTTGAAATCAAACTGGACAGCGGGATTTACCTTCAGCCACATAGTGTGGCATGATTCGGCCATTTAATTAGTGGCCGCCTAATATGGATGTCTGCAAGCATAGTCATAGTCGTAACATTACGACCATACACTAAAATCCAGTAGTTTGGTAGAATATCGCATGTAAAGATCCCAACATGTTTACTCTTGTCATTTTATCGCAAGGAAATGATGCAAAAGGGTACAAAACACGTATGAGATACTGATATGAATGGAATGTGCAAACGTTTTCTATCTACTACGACCTAACGTTATAAAAACGGGTTTGTCTATTGCCGACTGCAACCCTGTGACTCATCGGTTTCTCTTTCAAGATTTTCTTGATGCGTGCACACAAACTTTCTTTCGGATACAGTGAATGGAGCTAAAAGTTCCTTCGGACTGATTTCGGACGGATTTCCGCCCCTCCCCCCTTTTTCTTTGCCTCTGCTGCATCGCTCAGTAGCGTTTTGCAGAGCTGCTACTTATGCACACATGAGTATATGTGAGGGAAAAAAAGCATATAATATCTCTCTTAGCTTGAGAGTTCGGCTTCTCGATCAGTGCTTTGAACGACGACTGTTATAACTGATTATAGCTTTGATCGATTTATGGCAACGATCGCTGATGAAATGTTAGGATGAGGTGCACAATTCTGAGACTTTTGCAATTTTGGAAGTCCTACAGCCAATCAGGCACGAACTTCCCAAATAGGCCCATAACTTTGTGTACTGAGAAGCAAAACTGCGTAGGAAACGACAACAGAGGCCATGGTGTATCTAATAAAACTGGCTGGAGCTTTGGTTAAAAAGTTGTATAGAATAGTTCAACCAAAAAATTCCTTCAAGCGCAAGTTGGGCTTAAAGCTCGTACGCCTTTTCATACAACGTTATGATCGGTGAAGCACGATTTTGGGAAGTGCGGACATGTTGCATTAATGCACTCGCACTCAGCCAAGAAAAAAAAAAAATGTAGGAGGGTCACCGATGCTGAGAACAGCTCCATCCTTTCCTTTTTCCTTTCACTTTTTTCTTTTTCTTTTTTACCCCTCTTTTCTTTATTCTATCTCTCTCTCTCCAGTCCTTTACATATCCTATACATAGCAGCAGATACGCAACCATGACAGACGATAACAAACCCAAGTTGATGTCCATCAAGTTTCTGCTGCAAGGCAATGAATTTGTTCCCAATGGTACGAATCAGCGGGAATTCGGGGGTGCAGTCCAAATGCAAGCTAATCACTTCCGTTCCTCTTGTGTAGATGACCAAACAAGTAGCAGCAATCTCTCGGCCAGCATTCCTTCACTTGCAGCACCACCCTATCCCGTACACCCTCCGCACGACCTATCGCCTGTCAATGCATTGCCTGTAGATATGCAAGGCCTTTCAATTTCCGGTCGCCAAAAATACCCATCAGTTACTGCTATTCCACAGCCATCCAATTCGGCCGACACTCGCTACATGTTACAACCTGACCACCGCCTGAATTATTCACGTACACGACAACACTCTCATGCTCGTTCATTTTCTGACTATACACACCCATACCCGTCGTCTGCACCCTCTCTGTTCTCAGCACGCCCATCGGCGCCTTATTTGGCTGCTCCGCACTTGTATCAACATAGACGAGCCATTTCGGCTAACACGGCTGACTTCTACACCGATCCCTCGTGGCCTCCCTCACAATCGTCCCCTTCCTCCTCACCGTCTTCTAAATTCAAGACCATCGCCCCTTCACCCACTCGAACAAAGTCTGCCCTTACTTCTAATACCGTCGTCGATACCACCACTATTCCCAATAGTCCTTCAGACTCTAATGATGAAGATGAAATTGATGAAGAGGACCAACGTTCTCCTTCACCATCTAATAGCAGCAGCAGCAGCAGTGTCAATTTGGGTGTAGATAGTAATGGAAGACCCAACCGATACCAGTGTACTTATTGTCAAAAGGCCTTCTCGCGGCCTTCATCTCTACGTATCCATACTTATACTCATACTGGCGAACGTCCTTTTGTATGCGATGCTCCCAATTGTGGCCGTCGTTTTAGCGTGCAAAGTAATATGCGACGCCATCTTCGAGTACATCGAATGGGCCGCCAAACCAAGCGTTACCGCGGAGGAACCACTCATCCAGCACACCCCTGAGTCTAATTCGACTTGGACGTACACGTTTGGGGACCGGCTCTATTCCCTTTTCTCTTTGCTTTCTTTTTTTTTCATTTTTTTTATAAATTTCTGTCATCTCTGTCTTTTTCTTCTCTCCTCCTTATTTTGCTTTGTTTCCCTTGCCTGAATAAACTCGGTCTACCTTGGAGTTGCTGGTTCAACTCCTGCGCGTAGACGTAATTCTGTTTTATTTTTACTTTTAAGGTTACGTGTTGAAGATCCAAAATAATTACCCGTAAAGGTACAAAATCAGGCCATCCTACTAGTACCTGCGGCATTTCAAACAGTGCATTTTTCTATGGAAACCGAAAAAGTTTGCTGCGTGTTGAACCGTTGTTCCCGCAAGCCATTTTGGAACGGGCAGGGCTTCTCTGTCTTCTCTGTAAACGGCAACGCTTACACAATTTCATTTCACTCACTGGCGTATCATGTCATAAATTATATATGTATCACCTTTTTTTCTCTATTACCTCCTCCAGGGTACTCATATAAAAGATAAATATATTCACACACCTCCGCAGTAAGGGAGTGCTAAATGGAATTCAACTTATGTACTGTATCCTACTGATTTTTAAAACGTTCAGTGCAGTAATCCTGGGACTGACGCTACGGGATTTTAATCGCTGTTATTCTATGACGCTTAAAAGAAGTCATCTTGTGTTCAGTTGCGGCCATTTTCCGCCATATATAGGTATCACTTTAATGTCCAGTCTGCCCTTTATAATTGCCATGTTGTCGTAACTTTGGATCTATCGTCACGCAGATCACAACTTTACTCTCATGCTCTAGCCATTCGTTAGCATTCACTTCAATTGATCCGTGGGTGGTCAACATTGATACAATGCCGCTTACCATTGAGCTGTTTCAGGCACGTAAGCATGGCCACGAACAAGAAAATCTTTTTTTAGGCGCCAGTTGGATTTGACCTCATTTAGCACTCCGCCGGTCACAATTTTTTTTGACTTTCTATTTTCTTGCGCATTGTCCTTCGGTTGACAGTTTTCTCCTTTTTCTTTGTTCTTCAGCTTTAACCTGGTGGCGTTCCATGACCTTTTGGTTCATCACTTTATTGCTCATCCCAGATTTGGTATGGGGTTGGTGCCTACCATTGGCTGGTTCGACTGCCTGTCCAGCATTCGCTCAATACTACGCTGGTATGTCTAAACCTGCTTTTGACTGGTTGCAACCAGTGTGGAACATCACGGCTTTCGATGATGCGGTTCACAATTATGTGCAGACAACATTTTGGGATCAATTTAATTGTACTACAAAACCATATTATGCTCGCTACACGATGTCTGTCATCTGCCAGCTGATAGTCAATGAGAATGACGATTCTGAAAAATGCAACGCTATGTACCAAGTGTCACCTCCCTCATTATGTCAAAATACATGCAATCAGCAAGTACAAGCCGTCAAAACGTTGGTTCAATCACAATGTCAATCCACCATGCCATCAACCACGCTTTCAAATTATATTGATACCTATTCGCAACAGTGCCTAGTTGACCCTGCCTTGAATGCTACTGCCAGCTGTATGCTGGGCATGGTGAATGAACCGGATTACTGTGGTAATTTTACCTGTTCAGTAGCTCTTGACCGTCTATCCAGTACCACCAACTCATGTTTTTTACCTATATATTTCCAGGGTTTCCTTCGCAAGGGGATGGCTGCACATACTGCCAGTCTAGCGCAGCCAATGGCGACCTATGTTGTTCCAAGATAGCATGCGATGGAGGAGACCACGGGTTGTCTAAAGGAGCCATTGCCGGCATAGTCATTGCTATCGTGTTGTGCTTGCTACTCCTTGTTGCCGCAGTTTTCTATTATCGACGGTCAAAGTCAGTGCAGCAAACTCATTACCAATCCGCCGATGACAGAACTGAAACCGCATGCGTCGGAGAAAAACTTAGTACGGCACCGTCGTTTCTGAGTAGGACTGACTATCAAACACATGATACTATCACGCCAGCAGCTTTACGAGACACTGACTCAGTCGGCCTGATCAGCAAATTGGAGAATGAGTTTCATACTGTCATTCACCAGTATTATCCGTCACAGCCGGATGAATTAAGTCTGAAGAAAAACGATATCATTGTTTCGACCGTGGCATTTGATGATGGATGGGGAGTTGGAGTCAACATCACCACCGGACAGAAAGGCGCTTTCCCACTAATCTGCGTTACGCCGGCATCTCGCGAAGTGCTCGATTGGTATTGAATGAGGTCGAGCAAAACGTGGACGAATCGGCTAGTGTTCAACTCTGTGATATCATACGGTATCAAATGCGCCACTCTCCACCTCCACCATTACGTCGTCTTGGCACCAAAATACCACACCGTTCACAAAGCATCCACAGTCAATCATATCTGCATAAACAGACCTCTCAATCATTGCACACAACAATATAATCAACTATCTAATTGGACTCAACCACTGTACTATTTATCACTCCGTTTTTGCTTTTACAACTTAATAATACAACCATTTGTGAATGATATTTCATGTGATAGCCTGTTTATCTTTTCTTCAATGCCGTATACAGCTTACACGGTCATACTCAACTGTGCTTCAACGAGGGTAACATCCTTTTCGCTGTTAGCTACGGATACCAACCCCCTTGGGGACCATACATTTAAAGGGGCAAGTGAACCAAACCTTCGCGTTCCTCTTGTCAATTGACCGCCTACCAAGTGGGAGTGCCTAGAACATCTTGGTTAACCTTCAACCCTTCAGCGCCTGGCGCAAGTGACTCCTTCACTTGATGTAGCAGCGAGCGAGCAAATAGTCCCATCCGATGGATAGAATCTCTAGTTTTGGACGTAAATAAAGTTCTATTTGGTAGGTGTCAGGGGACGAACAAGACCTAAGGTACACCATAGAGCAAAAACCAGGGCTGACTGCTTTCAATTGCTCCCATTCCGCTCAATGCCCACCTCATCAAATTTTTGTTCAAAAGGTTTTTTAAATCTGGGGATTTTGCCACTGGAAACCGCAGAACCTGTGGTTTAGAAGACAGTGGAGAAACCTGTCGACTGCTTTAGTGGGCCAATCGTGGGTGGGGGGGGGATTCATAGCCAATACGACATTCCGAAGAGCAACACGGTTATGGGTTAATAATATAGACAGACTAGCTTAGAAGAAAACCATTTTTGAGGTATGAATTCAAGAGAGACATCGGTATCAAATGGGCACTCTCTTGTAAGTTGTTGAGATGGACAGCCTATGAAAGTGGTGGGTCATGAATAGCAAGTTAGAAGTTCGACAAAAAATGTGTACACTATTGAAATGGGGGATACTTGAAAAGTCCTCGAACACTTGAAGGGCCAGGCGCTTCGAACTGAAGTCGTTCGTCGTTGTACCTCCCGTTGCTAACGCATAAAACAATGGTTTCTCAATGTCAGATCACGTGCACTGATGGTTTGCAGCGAGCCCACATTCAAGGAAATTGTGACTGTCCTCCTTGAACTCTTTCCCAAAAAATTTGAGAAAAGTGACCTTCACAGTCAAAAACCTCAGCTATTAGCATGCCACCAAAAGGTACTCGAGGGGGCGGAAAGCCAGGAAACAGAGGCGGAAAAGGGTTCCATTTAGCTGCAAGAAGTGGATCCCATGCATACAAAGGAAGAGGTAAGACATGTCACGCTACTCATTCTCGCAGTGGATTGTCTGTCGATCGAGATCTAACGCTAACGACGAATCACAGCACAAAAGATAAAGGATCAACTAGTGCACAAAGCTAAGGTCAAAAAAGATTATTACAAACAACTTTCAAGGGAAGATGCAAGTTTAGAGACGCCAGATTATGTCAAGGAGGTCAGTACCTTAGCTATTCAGACGCACTATGCTACTTAATAACTGACAATGGCTATCAGATCTTTGGTGAGAAGACAATAGACGAAGATGGAAATATAGTAGAATACGGTACATCGTCTACGAAGCGAAAAAGAGATGACGGCGACGAAAAGGTCCATGATTTGGACGAGCAATCTAGTTCAGCAGAAGAAGATGGCTCGGATAGTGATGAAGGTGCTGGAGACTCGACGAGGAGTAGACGAAATAAGGGATCGTAAGTATCAAATTAATAGTGGAACTCTATTCAGTGCTGTCCTAAAGTCAATGCATCTTATCCATATAGGAAACCAAACCCGTTCAAGAAGGAAGTGTTAAAGCAGAAAGACGCCAAAGAGGCTGCACAGCAAGAGCTGGAACAGAAGAAAAAGGAGAAGGAAGAGCAGCAAAAGGGTAGAGCAAAATACTACAAGCAACGCAAAGAAGTTCGAGGAAAGATGATGGCAAGAAATTCGCGCGGTCAACCCAAAATGGGTACGCAAATCAATCTCCTTCTCGATAAGATTCAACAAGATGTTGCCAAGGACAATAAGCGAGAGAAGAAACGGCTGAAGCGAATGGAAAAGCGAAATACCGATAATGCAAATGAAGGACAGGATGCTGATAATAACGAATAGATGCTATTAGCTGACTGGCTGCTTTATTTCAAACTGTACAATTAAACATGCATGCCTTTGTGAAAAAGGTATAATAAACATTACACAGCTGGTTAAGCTGTCTTGCCAAAGTATTGACCGAGCGTCTGTTGATGTCGATCATGGCTTGAACTCCCTATACCACCTCTTTGCCGTTGAAGGGATTTCAGATGGCTGGTGTTGTTCTGCTCTATAAGCTCTAGTCGGCCCTTCGTGATCTGAAACGTAGTGACTGCGGTATTGTGCCAACGGATGTCGTTCCAAGGTAACCGGTTCAAGTTGTGAAGGGCGTTCGACATTTCTCTCAAAAACATTCCGTGGGCCACAATCAAAATATGAATAGGTGGCACGGACATTACAGAATATTTTGCAAACAGGTCTGTCAGGAACGCTAATGCTCGCAAATACGCATCATGTCTCGATTCGCCGCCTCCTGGGAAACGCTGTTCACGATACGGCACCCCATCCACCTTCGGCATCTTGTGAGTATTCCAATTCTTATCTTCAAAAGCACCCATATGGACTTCCATTAGCCTTTCATCTGTAGTGAATGGTGGCTTAACAGCCTGCTCGTTGTATATCGCCTCAGCGGTAAGGTAAGCACGCTGTAGCGGGCTGGAAATTATAGCTGAAAACTGTTATTACAATGGTTGGTAAATGAAAGTATGTGTTCCTCATTCGTAGTGGCATTTTGGTGCTCTACCTGTCTGTTTTTCAGTGCCTTTCCAGCGAGTTCAGCCTGGCGCATGCCATGATTTGTTAAACTGGCCGAGATCCGCAGTCACTGTGTCAGAATGTCGAATGCATCGTGAACCCCAACTCTTGAAACACTTACGTTGCATCAGTTATACCCTGCCATTTATTAGCTTTATTTCCGGTACTTTCACCACTGGAAAAGCATTAGTTAAATTCAGAACCCGTGCATTGCGTAGAACGGCTACTCACTGTCTGACCAAAGTGAGAATGATCATGTTTTGCCAACCAGGAACCTGCGGGCCGACTGAGATTGGAAAATTTCCCAATAAAACCAAAACGTCGATCTGGAAAAATCACCGCCTTCAGACCAGAAAGGAAAAAAACATGAGGTCAAACAAAAAAGCCAGCCGCTTAAACGTTCGTTCTCTCTCCATTTGCTAATGGCGGATCAAGGGTTAGTCAACACTGGCAAGTTTTCACACTTGTTCCCTACAAGTTCTAAGCAGTACACCTCTGGTATCTCCAACACCGTCGTCGACTATGTTATTCTCTTTCGATACCCGACGGCGCCTAAGAAAGGAATGACCAGAGAGTCATTAGCAACCTCTGTATCCAACGGCTTTCAAGAACTAAGCGCCAAGCTTTTAAACTCCAACCTGATGTATCAGGTTAGGGAAGGAACTGAACCTGATACGATTTTGGTGTTCGTTTATTGTCCTTGGCCGGTGTTGAAGAAGCACTTGTATCAGTCACGGTATGTCTGAGAGAATGACGGGTTGTGGCGCTATTGACTCTGCTTCCGCCAGAGATTCCTTCTTTTTTTTGTTGAAACATGACGTCCTTACCTTAACATCATCTTTTATTATCAGATTACACGATTTTCTGATTGGTGTTCGCGTCAATACGCTGGACGATCATGAGCATGAGAACGAGGAAGCACTAGATGCCGGTCACAAACTCACCGAGGCTGAACGTCTTCGTCTCGTATACGAGATCATCACTTCGCCTGCCAATGAAGGAGGTGCTAATATCTCTCCAGAAGTGGATAAGTATGTTGAGAGCATATTCCCACTTCATAACGATGAGCTCAACAAGGTATGTGGACTATATACATGTAGAGTCCTAGTATACTACGTCTAGATGTGTCCTCGTCATACTAAGCAATCCCATTCTATTTTAGAAATGGATTGAATCTTGGAGCCACAAGTGGTTCATTCAAGAAGACGACTTGCAGCTGATTCGCGACCATTTTGGAGAAAAGTTGGCATTTTATTTTGCTTTTTTGCAAAACTACTTGCTATGGCTGTCCGTGCCCGCAGCGATGGGCATCGTCGCACATTTTGTGCTGAAGAATACATTCAACATCGTATACGGTGCTTTGGTCATGTTGTGGAGTGTGGTTTATCTCGAAGTCTGGCAACGCAAAGAGCGTAATCTGGCTGTCAAATGGGGCGTTCGCAACTACTCCAAACATGATAAACAGCATTCTGGATTCACTGGCGAGAAGATGGTCACAGATGAGATCACGGGTGAATTGGTCCCTTACTGCCCTCCCTGGAAACTGTTTATACGTCGCGCTGTCACTGTCCCAGGTGTCGCTATCGCTGCTGCTGGCCTCAGTCTTGTCGTGGGCTTTGTTTTCGCAGTGGAGGTGTTCTTGCATGAATATTACAATGGTCCCTTTCACAGATTTTTGGTAAGTGCGGGGGGGTACATAATGTCATCATCATGCGTTCGTTTCCGACTAACCCATTGCGCAACCCAAAAAGCATTACGCACCCACCATAGGATATGTCCTGCTTATTCCTACCATGTCTGGCTTCTACACCAAGTGGGTCAAAGCGTTGAATGACTGGGAAAATCATAAGACAGAGGCCAGCTGGGAGTATAGCTACACTCAAAAAATCTTTGTTGCCAACTTCTTGGTCGGATATTTGTCTTTGGTAAGGAAACGATCGAAGGGATTGAGTTTCAAGACCGTAAACAAACAGACCAAGATATACTAAACTGGGACATTTTCTCTTTCATGGCCTGTTCACAGTTCATCACAGCCTGGGTATACATTCCATTCGGGGACCACCTTTTGCCGTACTTGGATGTTTTCAATATTCAACATAACCATCAGAAAGTAGGAACTGAACGACTCAAGGCACAACTTATCTATTTCATTATTACTGGTCAGGTTGTTGGGTTTTTCACGGAAATGATTCTTCCCCGCATCATGGCTATCGTGCAACCCAAAATCATGTCCATCTTGAAGCGAGGTAATGGAAATGGACGACGTTCGTCTGGTACAAAGGCGGGGGATCCAAATAGCAAGGATCTAGACACCGCACCAAAAATGACAGAAGCTGAAGGGGCCTTCATGCAAAAGGTCAACAAAGAAGTTGCCATGGAAGAGTATAATATCTACACTGATTATGTTGAGATGGTGATACAGGTAAGCGGAATCAATCAGTTCCAGTGGGCGGCTTGCAACGTTGGATATAATATGGGCCCTCGTTGTCATTACTCATCATGAAACTGTCACCGTCCATAGTTCGGCTACGTTAGCGTTTTCTCGACCGTATGGCCCTTGACGGCCTTGTGCTGTTTCATCAACAATATCATTGAATTAAGAGGTGACGCTATCAAGGTTTGCAAATATACAAGGTACATAGCCCCCGGCTGTTCTTGGCGTCAGCAAAGGAAAAAAGAGGGTAGTGGTATTTAATCAGCAATTTATTTCATATGACAGGCGACCGATCCCTCGGAGAGCAGAAAGTATTGGACCATGGTTAGGAAATATGGTAGGTGGTTCAAGATAGACGACAGCGGATATCCGGGTCAATAATGTTACTTATCTGGCTGTGTTGTGTAGCAAACACTGGTGTGGCTCTCATCCATCACAACAGCATCGTTTGCGTATCTCTTTAGATCGTCAACGGACACACATTCACCCTGGACTCCCATTTTCACTATCATGGCCATTATGGCCAATGAACATATCTATGTTTTTATTCGATTTATTGTCCGCTATGCGATCACATTGGTACCCACCTGGGCCGACACTGTGGCGCGACAGGAGGAGTTTAAGCTGAAGAAGAGATGGCTTGATAGAACCGCTGCCAACGAAGATGAATACGTTGCAAAGGAAATTGGAGAGAAGCAACAAGAAGTTGGAGAGCACGAGTCGTTTTGGATGGAGCATAAACAACCTGAACTGGAGGTGGAGTCAGCGATAAGCACCATCCAAGCATCGTTCAAGAATGACTGAAGAGTGATGATGACGATCACGGGCGCGCGCAGAATGCGCCGGCTGGAACTCCGCAAGTCGGGAAAAGGCAATTTTGTCTCTTTGGTGTGCTTATGTGGCAAGTTTCGTATCTTACTCTTTTCCTTTGCTTCCACTTTTTTTCCTTCTTCTCTTTCAATAAACGTAATCATGGTTTCAAAAGCAAAAGTCTCTGAAGAGAATGAGCCGCTCCTCCTGGACTCCATCAGAGAAGAAATTACAGTCACACCATCTGATCGAAAAGTATCGCCATGGTATATTATTGTACCTATCTTTTTCGTGGCAACTTTCATGGGGTAGGAGGAATATTTGAAGTATCGTCTTTGTTGCCACAAGTGCTGACATGTATGACTATAGAGCGTCTATCGCACCTACCTTTCA